ATGGAGAGGTTTGACGGAGCGGTTTGTTCCCAAGCGCCTGAAACATACATAATGACAGGCTTGAATATCGTATTGTATAATGAAATCTTATTTTTAAGATTGAGCTTGGAATTTCTGTTGATCAGAGGATAGAGTTTGTCTATCCTCATTTGTACTTTGCTCTTGATATAATCGATGTGATTTAGCCAGGTAAGTCGGCGGTCTACCCAAAGACCTAAGTATGTGACTCGCGTTTGCCATTCGATTTTCCTGCCTGAAATGGTGACTCTTATGTCTGGAGAAACGTTACGTCTCCCCAAATCTATCGCCTGAGGTGGACTCACCCGAATCTTCCATTCCAGGTACCAGCGTTCGAGGTCGTCCAATGCGCGTTGCATGTAGACGACCACCAACTCTCAACCCATGGAAGAAGCGAGGAGAGCCGTATCATCGGCGTAAAGAGAAACCTTCACGTGATCGGACCTCGGAAGCTTGTTCACGTAAAGGCCGTACAATAGTGGAGACAGCACAGCTCCTTGAGGCACTCCAGCTTGGATTACCCTGACGGGAGACAGGGTTCCTTCAACTCGGACCTGAAATGTTCTGCCTTTCAGAAAGGACCTAATCCACCGGATCAGGCCCCGAGGCAGGTCGAAATCGAGCATTTTGTGTAGTAGACCTTCATGCCATACTCTGTCAAAGGCTTTCGAAATGTCCAGGAGGACGACATGGACTGTCTTCCTATTGTTTAGTTTTAAGATGGAATTTTCGACCAGTCCTGAAGCCGAATTGTTCATCTGGCAGAACATTTCGGTCTTCAACTTTTTCGGTCAACCTTTGTAGCACAACACGTTCAGCCAACTTAGCCGTTGAGCAAAGTAGACTAATCGGACGATGATTCTGGGGAATCATGACGACTACGGCATGCTTCCATCTTCGGGGGAATAGGTATCTGATGACGTTCTCCGGGAGCTGCTTCAACAACCTACTGTTGATTGAATCAATTCCCGGAGCCTTCTTGAGTTTGGAGACCCTAATGTACCCCCTCAGTTCTTCCTCCGAAGCTGAACGGATCACGTCGTCATCATTTTCCCTAAGGATGCACTAAACCCGCTGTTCCACAGCCGGATATCTCAGTCAATATCATCAATCGGATCAACGTTAAGTTGGAACTTACTCTCCATTGTGTCTGAGTCGATTTCTCTCTCGGATAAGGTTCTTTATCCTGGGAGAAAACTCATTGTACCTTCGCAGAGGACACTCTGTCCTGGTTGTGGCTGCACGGAAATTATTGTTCACAGACAGTTCGAAACCCGCCACTGCCGCGTCGAGACCGTTACGAGTTTGAAGCGCCTTACGGTTCGTACAAGTCTCCACTAGATGAGCCTTGAAGGCTTCCCAATCCGTGGATGATCTCATGCGATAATCCTGGGGAGGGGTATCATCACCCAGCATCAGAATGACTGGATTATGATCTGAGTCAAGTTCCGACAAAGTGTACACTTCGCAGGAAAAGGAGACGTTCCTGAGTAGTGCGATATCAAGCACGTCAGGTCTATTATCACCACGATAGAACGTAGGCTCATCTGGACCCATCACTCGATACTCATGCCTGTCAGCATGTGCTCGGTCGTTCGCATTGGTAATTCTGCTTCATAGATTGTGCTTGGCGTTGAAGTCACCAGCAGTAATTGCGGGGGTATCTGTCGACATCAGCAGTTTATCTAGTGATTCTGGGAGTAGACGATTCCGCGGAAAGTTGTGAACTGAGATTAGTATATAACGACCTTTTCTCAGTTGGAGTTCAACGCCCACGGCTTCCGTGCCGTGTAACTGGTCCGAGTCAATGCCGAATTATACGTGAGGAAGATTACGTTTGACAAAAATGCCAACTCCTCCTCCAACACGTTCTCTATGGAGGAAACGGTTGTTTGGAATACCAAAAGGTTCATTGTGCAGGTGGGTTTTCTGCACAAATGCAACATCGATGTCATGTTCTGTCAGGAAGTTCTCAAAGTCATGTTTTTTGTTCGAAATACTATTGGCATTTCAAAATACAACCTTAAGAGAGCTAGGCATTGTAGGTTGTCTAGTCATTAACAAGCTCCAGTTAGCACGTCGGTGTTCTCTGTAAACATTTTTTCAAGTACGGAAAACTGAATGTTCAAGTGAGCCTCGGAAGCATCATCCTGGAGACTAATGATGGCTGGAAACCTTTTTCCACCAAGGCGCCGTCGATGTCAGCGATATCCAAGTGTTCCGGAACCCTTCTGAAGACGGCACTAATTTGCCTGTCCTCAGGAAGGGTATACGTGTGATGAAGGATTTTCTCCCTCACCAATAATTTGGACATACTCCTGTAGTCCTCGATCGAAGAAGGATGAACTTCAATGCCGTCAGCCAAGTTTACTGGTTTCGTATAGTTGACTTTGTGAAAGGTAGCCAACTTCGTGAAATAAACCCACATGTCCTTCTGACGAACGACAATTGGGGGAACGCGAGTTTTCTTGATGTTTTGGGGCATCTCAGGGCGCGGAGGGGGAGGGGAGCTAGCTCCCTGTTCCGTAGGATTTCCAACTTGATTTGTTTCGCCGTTTTGGGTAGTCTGGTTTTTTGGGCTACCCTGTACAGTGGAAGTAGACTTTTCATCCGTTTCAGAGCCATCGCTCATATTGACATCAGCCATTACATCACCATTCAGTTGTTCATATCAGTTGTTGATATCTCGGATTCCGAGAAATTTAGTGCTTCATCACATAATTTAGGTGCTTTTTTGTTCGTCTTTTTTGGCTTTGCGCCAGTGTTTCTCGTTGTTTGAGAGGCTGGCTTCGAAGAAGGAGGAAAGTGTTCTGGAAGTCAACGTTTCTTTTTTGCCGGTTCATTCGGCTTTGTTATGGCATTGATTGTCTCAGGCTACGCAGAAATGGTGGAGCCGACAGGGGTATCTTTGGAGGAGACTCTCCTTGGAGTGCCAGGAGGCTCCCTAATCGCCGACCCAGGAGTGCCTTTCAACAGCTCTCATGGGCTCAGGCCCAGACGGTCAAGCAAAAGGCCAATGAGGCCAATCACTTCACCTCTGTCCCTGGCCATCAGACTGTCTAGCAGTTCCTCCATAGCGCTATAGGAACAACTCACAACCTTAGATTTCCCAAGGACAGGTGATAACAGTCTCGTAAAGTGATATAGCTGAACGCACTTACCAGAGGTCTGGAGGGTTCTTGCTCACTATAACTAACACTCACACTAATAAGAGAGATTAACCTCTGGCGAATGGCTGATCATCCACCATAAATTCTGCACTTTGTGGAAATAATTCGAAAAATTAGTCTTAGCGAGAAAAAATTCTGCCATCTCTGGACTGGAAGCAGGCCTTATATATCGGTAACGATCGGTTTAGATTTATCTAGTGGTCAATGTACTCGCCTACTATTTTCCCGGCGAGTCAGACTACATTCTCGCTGGCTGGAGTATCGATCAGAGACGGCTTCAGATTCGTTACAATACTATATTAAATGAAAATAGATTATGAGTAGTTATAATCACCCACCAGCGAGAATTAAAGCGACTTTTTGCCTGAACAAAACATTCACCGGTAAAAAACTAAACGTGAATGCAATATTGCCCCCCCTATAGGGGCAGTAAGCGTATCGCTCACTTTGAGAAAGACTAAGATAGAATATTCTTATTTAGTTACTAGTAGAAAAGTACCACGTCAACAATCTCTAAAATGGTCAATTCTCGTCCATTGGAAGAAAAAATTGAAGCGATTTTTATTCACGGTGCGACGCGTAGCTTTCACGAGACCGAAAGGATTTTCAATGAACGTTTTCCGAATCGTCCTATCTGTAGAAAATATTTGAGGAAACTTGTATCCAAATTCACAACTACCGCTAGTGTACATAACAAAAAGCCCCCAGGTCATCCGTCCATTCCGGAAGGACAGCTGGTGCAAATAATTGGTGAGATGGTAGTAAATCCTGAACAGTCTACTTATTCCGTTGCGAATATTTGTGAGTTTGTCTCCTTCTACTGTGTGGAGACTTTTGAAGAGGAATAGGTGTCATCCATACAAAATTAAAATGGTACAAATTAACTGAAGATGACACTGACCGAAGAACAGAATTCTGCGAAATCATGATGGAAATCACTGCAAGGCATCCTACCTATCTCCACAATATTTTTTTAGTGACGAAAAACCCTGATCAAAGAACAGAATTCTGCGAAATCATGACAGAAACCATTGCCCAGATAGCACAGGACGTTTTAAAGACATCTATTACATGTTCATTTATCGTCTGAATGTCCAGGACCAAGTCTGGACGTTTTAAGTGTGTCCAGTTTAGTAAATCCTCGGGACGTCCAGAAATATATGTCCGTAGAACGTCCATTCAAGGTACTCAATTATACTTCCATTGGATTCACGTTTGCATTGTATTATTTCATGAGAAACATTAAAAAATCAGTATATATTATAATGAAATGATTATAAAAAACGGCGTATATATATGTTTATTACACAAAAAACGTCTCATTCAGCAAGACATTGTTATAACATTATTAAATCATCAATAAGCAGTAGAACATTTGAAGGTAATGCCAACTGTGTATGATGCCAACATATAGGTATCAAGGTCATATAGATCATATCAAAGAACAATTTCAAACATTGATATCTCGAGAATGAAGTTTTAGGAATTATATTATGTGATTTTCAATTTCCAAATTGATACATAAAACACGAAGTCATGCGTAACATGAGCGCACGCGCAAGACTGATTTCAAATTGTGGAGTTTTGGACTTCAGTTAATAACTTGGGGTAGGTTGTATACTACAATTTTACGAACTACTGAACTGTGTTGGTTCAGTTGCCAAGGAAATAGGAATTATGGTTGGCCAATAATTAACGCATTTCTAACTCAATTTGCATGCGACCGTTTAAAATGACATTTTAAACTTCCCGCCATCAGAGTCACCAACTACAGAACGCGTCTTGACCGTCTTGTTGCATTTTACTGTCGGCTGTACGGAAGTCTGGTCGATTTTAATTATCACATTCTTCACCTTTGGTTGCATCGCTTTTTTGATATTTTAATTTATTCAATGTCGACATTTTCTGAAAGTAATGACAAAAAAAGGTAACTAATGCAGTTCAGATCACTGAACGGTCCATTAATCAATGACTTCATCATGAGAACAAACAGCCAAATGTGTTGAAGTCACTAGTTTTCAGTACGAAGAAGTGAAGGAAAATGCAGCGCATATCATAAGTGAGTATACTCGTATATTATTTAGACACCGCCTACATTAGATACCTATAATAATTTAATACATATTGGATTTTCATATTGATCATCAGCCATTCATTTTGAATAAGCAATTTGAATTATTTTCAGGTTCAGCTGAGATGGCAAACATGGCCAAATCACGACAGGAAACGGAACTGTCTTTTCAGGCATGGCTAAAAAGGGCGAAGGAAAGAAAGGACGTGAAATCTACGAAAAAGTTTTAATATTATCATTTATTTTATGTTATTATTTTCAATGGATGTTTCAAATAAAAAATATTTAAAGGTTCAATATTTTCTTAATTTTTTCGAGGCAATCTGACCTAATAAATAAAAAATAAATAATTTTTAGCCTACAGAAACGTATGACAGAAACAAATAGAACATCCTGTGAATATATTTTTGAGCTTCTGATCATGTCCATGAAATGTTCTCAAATGGACGTCCTAAAGACATCCTGTAAATGTCTATTTGAAGACCTGTAATGTCCTATTATGGACGTCCTAAAGACATCCTGATTATTAACAATGGACGTTACAAAGACGTCCATAAGATGTCCACGTCCGTTTTGAGGATGTTCTGAATGTCCGCAAGCGGGACGTGACGTATTTGTGCTATCTGGGATCCTACCTATCTACACAATATTTGTTTTAGTGACGAGTGTACTTTTTTTAAACGGCGATGTTCACAGATAAAATTGCCGTTATTGGAGTAACACCAACCCTCACGTTTTCCGGGAAACGCATACCCAATATCCAGAAAAAATTAACATTTGGGCAGGAATACTGGGAAACCATATTGTAGGACCTATATTTATTGATCAAAATTTAACAGTCGAACTGTATTTGAATATGCTGGAAACTACTGTTGACCCTTTCATCACTGAAATCGTCGAAGCGAATCCTAATGAATTCGATATGGATATTGTATTCCAACAAGATGGAGCACCACCACATTACTCCAGACATGTAAGAAACTATTTGGATACTACTTTTCCCGGTCGTTGGATTGGCCATAAAGGTCCTACAAAATGGCCAACCCGCTCGCCAGATTTGACACCTTTGGTCTTTTTTTATGAGGCTATTTAAAGCAAAAGGTGTAAGAAACTGAACCTCCTTCAATACTTAATATACGGCAGAGAATAATTAATATTTGTAAAGATATTGACGTTACTGTGTTCGAAAATGTTCGGCGTGAAATATCGGATAGGCTGTTCACATGTCAAGAAGTTCAAGGCAACCATTTCGAGCTTCTTCTGAACTGACCTCAAGCTTATTATCTCCTAGTATGTAGTTAAATGTCAATTTATTTAGGCAATTATTAAGTTCCGCCATTTTGTAGTAGTTGAAGATATTGACATTATATTCTAGGGTTGTGAAACATTTGTCAGTAGCTTCAAAAAGATGTGTCACAAGACCCCTTTTTCCATTTAATTTTTTTCTCCCAGATGGCGCCCAGTCGCCATCTTGAAAGTTTTATCTGTCATTTTACTTCAAAATAAAGTATTCATGCATTAATTTCATTATCCCAAATTTCATTTTTTTTGAGTTGACCCATTCAAAAAATAAATTATAAGGGGGGTCATTAAAGAAATGCACTGTATTGTGCCGGCAAATTTTTAGACAGTGGCGTTTCGTGGTACCACACACGCACGCCCGATACTCGAAGGTACTCGTGTCAATATAAATACATACAGTGTGATACAAAATAAAATGAGTATAAATGAGAATGGAACAACTGTTCCCAGACTTTCAACCTTTGACCCCCAAAAACCGGACAACTTTGATTCTCCTGGTTAGATAATTTGTCCTCTCTGCACTGCTTTATTGCTAATTGTACTAACCGTGTTTCCTGGCTAGAATAAAGTTTGATACTGTACGCATGAATCGCTCAAGAGAATGAGAGTTGCGCGCATTGAATGAAGTTACATTTACTCTATGAATGGTTTCTGTGCAATTCCGTTTGATGTGTTGAAGTTTGTAGTAAACCAAGAGGTTCTTGGTTTACTACACTGACTTTTTAAATGCCCTGTACCTCCACAATTATAACATTTGTTATAGTAGTAAAAGATCTAACCATAATTCATCTTATTGTGAATTTTTACTATTAAACTCTCTACTTTATCAGCTCGAATCAAACCTTGTAAAATTTCCACTTTACATTCACTGAAAATAAATTTAAAATTTCCGCATAATATCACTTTTTCATGAAAATATGAAGCAAATAGTTTCCCCTGCTCTTCAATTTCTTTATCTCATTTGTTCACATCTGTTAGCGGTACTCGATGTATATTCGAATGTTAATCTCAACTTTGTTTCACAAATAGTCCATGTACCTGCTCCCAAATTTAAATTTTGAACCTAATTTGCTGCCAGACATCTCAGATGTGAATGTGCAACTGTCAATTTGGTTTGTTCATTCCAACCCTGTATATCTACCTCTGTCACCATAAAAATCCACAATGTGGTGTATTTGGAACTACCCTCTTATTTCTACTATTTTGTACCGTCATTGAATTCAAAGTTTTCATTTGAGTATAGTCATTAAATTATTTATCTATTGCATTAACCCACTGAAATCGTCCAAAAATTGTTCTATTCATTCTAATAATGGCAATAAATTTGCTAAAATAACACTGCAAAAATTATATGTGTTATTAGATCCACTTGGATTCGTATTCATTCATTTTTATTCAAATGACACTGACGTAACTGAGTGTATAGGAAATACTGTGCTTATATTAATCACCCCTACTAAGACTATACCTTAATCACCCTGTAAAACTTTTTAACAACCTGACACTACCTGTCAAAAATCACCTCTAAATATGATACTTGTAAATTCCTACCAGATTTACAACATGAAACGTATTTGGTGTTCAAGAACCACTTCGGAAATGTTAGCTTTTGCTCACCTGTATGGCACAAGAGACACTTAAGTTCCAAAAAAAAACACTTTGTGTTTGTTTGTGTGTGTTTGTTTATAAGTACACGGAGTGTACTTGAGTTTTAAAAAAATAAGAATGTTTTTAGAGATAGCTTTGGAGAAGTGAATATTTATGATAAACTTAGTGAATATTTTATAAAATATGTTGATAAATCATAAACCACATATAAGACGTTAAAAAAAAATTCTAATGTTTATAATACATTATACTTTTTTATCGGACGTTTATAGTTTAATCATGTCTTTAACAAATGTAAATTCATTTAAAGTCACAGAATAAACTCACAATTTTTTTCAAAGTCTCTTTGTGATGACATCAGATGAAAATAGATGTTACAAATATCATACAATATGCTGAATTATTCACAATATGGGATAATAAAATAAAAAAGCATTTAACAAGACATGTATATATTATTCGTCAAATATTGTATAAAATAAATAATCATTTCCTAAGCATATACAATAAAATATATGGATTCATTTAATCGAATCTTTCATAATCTCTAAAATCTTTTAGGCTATTTGGAAGACCGTAAAATCCATACATAGAAAAACCTGTAAATAACAATTTTCACAATACAACAATATCGTTTATTGATTTGAATGAGTATAATAAAGAAAGGAAATAAAATCAGAGTTGGATAAAATTGCAGAATATCATTCATAAGTAAATTTATTATAAAAACATTACTCACAAATCGAACGGTAGAGATTCAAAAAAATATTTGAATTCAATGAGTGACATTTCATATACTGAATCAATAGGAATTCTTTTTACGAGAGAAAAATACAATACATCAACCTATACATTATTCAATTCTTCATTCTACCGAATTTCTATCAACAAATTATCCTTATGCGAAACTGATTATTTGTAGAGACGTAGGTAATAATTATTTAACCCTAAAATTTTTGTTGTGACAATTTATATTACAGAATCCGCATCTTTATACAACTCATCTGTTAGTTTTTCAAACAAGAGAACATGATACATCAGTTCAGTTTTGTGATACTTAAAAAATGAATTAGGATAAATTCACACATTAAAAAAATCCAAGCTCAAATGATCAAAACAGAGGCAACAAAAATTATTTCACAAAACTAAAATTCTCATACCACTGGTAATTTCAATTACAAAATATCATTCGAAATGAATATTCAAAAACTGAAACTTATTATCTATCAATACCAATAGAGCCATTTCGGTTAGTGGTTAGTAGTTTTAGTACGTGAGTTTGGAATTTGAAGAACAGATAAAGCTATAAGCCAAAGAAGGAGCACAACAAACGAAAAGCATAACACATTTTTTATGGAGATGTCATATAGGGGATCTCAAGAGGACTTCCGATGAAAAATTGGGATTATTATTAAAAGTGTCTTGCACGTCATTCAAATGAGCATTAAATAATCTGGAAATTTAATCTCCATATGTTCTTAACTCATCTGTTAGCTCAGGCAAACAAACATCTTTTATCAATATACATGATGATTGTCTTCAATTATAATGATCTAAAGTTTACTACTATCTTTTCTTCTCAATTCGATATTTTTAAAAATTTCATTCATAGCTTGTCTATGTTTTTTCTTATCATCGTTCATTTGACCCAATGATTTGAAGTTGCGTGAAGTGTCCTCAGTTATGGAAAGGCCTTCGTTTGGTAAATGAATACTTCTAAAAACATTACCCATTCTTTTTTTGTGAGTCATGAAATCTTCATCAAACTCTTCTTTGTTTGTACCTGTCTTTTTACCTTTAGGAGGTTCAACTTGATAATTATTTGTTTTGCTTTCAATGCCCTGTTTTTTATCCCTCTTCACGTTGCCTAGGCTTTCTGCTCTGGAAGTGATAAATGAAACAAATTTTTCTTTAGCCTCATTTACGTTGATACTGTCTTGAATAACATCGTCATTTTTCTCTAAGGGGATTACCTTGTTTGGGCTTCCGTTATCTTGAATTTTCTTGTTATTGTATACATTTTTTTCAATCGGAATATAATTTGGTAGCACAGTCATCCTTCGCAATATTCCACCAAGATTTTCCATGAATACTTTGGTCTTTTCTGATGTGACTGTTAAATTTTCATCACCTGGTTGGAATTCTGATGAATCTTTCTTTACAACTTTTTTTGGTGGTTTTAGTAATATATTGTTAAGCCTGCTAGAAGTCAGCTTGGGAAAAACTTCCTCACTTTCATTTTTAGTACCACCTGATGGCATTGGAGGGGGCGCATGAGAGTTCGTTTTTTCCTTTGTATGAGGTAAGGGAGAACTGTTTAAAGATGGTGGAGGCGTTGGAGGACGAGACTTTTGGGTTACAGAGCTATCACTTTTCTCATCATCAGATTCACTTGATTCATGTTTCGATGATGGAGTGTCTGGAGGAATGGGAGAGTCAACTGATTCGACATCACCCTTATCATTTGATAACTCATCTTTTTCTTTTAGGAGCTCAGAGGGGCTGAAGGAAATGGGAACATTTTCTGAAATAGTGGTAAAAGGTGAAATAGTAGCTTCTGCAGGAGAGACAACATTATCGCGATGCACAACAGCAACAACACTCTGTTCACACAGCATAATATCTGAGACAATGGATACACGATCTTTAGAAAATTTACGTTCTAAGGAATTATGAAGATTATTATCAACTTCTTCCAACATTTCATCCAATTTTTCCAGTTCTTCTTGTATTTTGAGTACCTCCACTTTATCTTCAGTTATCACAGGAGGCAGGGGGGCTTGCTTCTTTGTTGATTGTTTCATATCGGAATTCTCAAATTCATCAGGTTCAAAATCAATGTTATCGTAATAATTTAGAACAATCTTTTTGGAAATCGTGTTTTCATGAAGAGGAGAAGCGTTTTTTTGTACTTCCGAATATGGTCTTAGAGAAAAATAGTAAGTAGGAAGGCCTAAGAAAAGAAATAACAAACCCATGCAATATGTACAGCATTCTCAATCCACTCTCGAAATGTAGATCTATCTCTTCAACGATCAATTCAGCAACAGTTATGAAGTATGTTAAGGATAATTATTGATAAGAAATACATTTCGAAAACTGGTATCTATTTTTTTGATTGAGATTCTTACCTAATGCCATCCAAATCCCAAATCGGATCCAAGTGTGTATATCAAGCATAAGCATTAAATAAATATTTATCAATATGCTAATTGCTGGTATGAGAGGTACCAAAGGAACCTATTAAAAAAAAATTATTGAAGGCTGAAATTTATATATATACTTTATACCTTGAATGAAAGTTCCTTTTTAGATGTGGGTTGAGTAGCCATAGACATAACAAGAATTACAGCAATGAAAACAAATCCAGATGTAACAGATATTGCCCAAACATCACCATCTACGATATGATTTTTCCAAAATAGTACACACAATCCAATGAATACACAAGTGAAACCTGAAAAAAATTATTAGTTTTGGATGTTATAAATAGTGTAACAACAGTTTGTTTAAATGTTGGGTAAATCTTAACAAGACCAAGGTAATCCCAGAATAGGTAATCACTTCAATATATCAGTGGATAAACTGAACGAAACAGTGAATGGCATCCAACAGGTGAGTAGTACGGGTAGAAAAATTGACTATAAAAAATAAATCAATAACTTCCGAAAATCAGTTTGAACTTTCGACTCGAAATTAATGAAAAGTATAGGGACTTATATTTCTCAAAATTATTACCATTTTCAACAACCTTACTCTAAAAATGATTATGAAATAAAACTTAACCGTGCCGTTGCAACAATAAGGAAAGAGAAAAAGAATTGAGAACAATCTTAATGAAAACTACCTCAAATTCCTGAAATTGATGACATTAATGGAAGAGCTTTGAGATCAGTTGTGAATTTAATTTGTGAACGAGTCATCTTTCCGGACCTAAAACAATCAGAATGTATACCAATATTTAAAAATAAAGGTTCCGAACATGATGCTGCAAACTATTGCGCTATTTGTGTTCAGAGTCAAATTTCCAAAGCGTTCGAAGCTGCCTACTCTGTTCGATTGATCTCCTACCTCAAACATTACAATATCATCTCTAATAACCAAAACGGATTCAGGAAAACTAATCAACTTCAACGGCTATTGAGCAAGCTCTGGATTTTATCTATGAACAGCTTAATAACAAGAAGAATGTACTGAAGTCTATCCAAATCCAATGAGCTCAATCCCATCGAGTTAATATGGGCGGATGTGAAGAATTTTGTAGCTCAGCATAGCACCACCTTCAAATTTGCAGATCTCAAAGTACTTTTTGATGAGGCTTTGAAAAGAGTCACAGCGGAGAAATGGGAGAAGTGTGTTCGGCATGTGATATCGGAAGTCGAGACAAAGATGTGGAAGCTTGATAACATAATAGAGGCACAAATCAAGTCACTGATAATTTAGATTGGTGAGGATGACACTACTGATGAAGAGACAAATTCATCCAATTGAATAATTTTGAATAATATTCCTTTTGATTTTACATAAAATAAAAATTATCAATAAAGAAATGATTACGTCTCTTTTCATATAATGCTTGAGTGCACTGTGAAAAATTCAATGAAAATATTTTTATATTACACATATTATCTGCATTTTTCCCGTTAAACTGCAAAACTTGTGCATTTCACTTGGTATTATAAAAACGTTTTCCTAAGTATGATATAGCCTTTGCGATCAACAAGATGTTGGTTCTGAATACGACCATGGCCAATTCTTGGGATTTTCAATATCACGTGCGTAGGGCATGTCAATGTTTACATCCACTCTATCTTGGATTTGAATTTGCTTTAGTTATATTCTATGATTTAACTTGTGAATTATTTTCAGTTAACCTTTTTAATTTTTTCAGGGATGAAATACACCACGAAACATTGCCAACCACCTTCATCTACGATACGTGTACCACACCAAATAATGTTACTTTACGCTGATGACGCAAATATACTTCTAGCCCATAAAAACTTGGAAAGTCTGGTAAACTTGGGTAATTATGCATGTAATGAATTCAGTAAATACTGTAGCGACAATGACTTTGTCTGCAATATAAAGAAAACCAAATTTATCAATTTCTCACCCAAAAACGGTACCTCAAATCCAGATCTAATGAACAACATCAATATGTGTGGTAAAACTCTGTTATACTGATAGGCAGCTAGATTTTTAGGAATACTCCTGGATCAAAAGCTAACATGGGAGGCACATATCGACAGTTTATGAGTAAAGGTTGGCAGTGCAAACTACGCAATTCGGAATCTGCAAAACACTGTCTGTACAGAAGTTATAAAACTCATGTATCATGGACTGGTACAATCAAGGCTAGAGTATGGATTGATCTTCTGCACATACTGACCCCATTTTTAAGGTTCAGAAGAGAGTTGTTCGCTGTATGGATTCCTCATTCCTCATTACAGTAGAACTGTAATGAGGAATGAATGGTGTCTTGTTGGATAACTGCTACTACAATATGGATGAAATTTTTGCTTTCAGTCCTTAGATAAATGACATAGTTTTTTTATACATGTAATCTTTTTTTAAATTTATTCAAGATCAAACATTTGTGTTTAGCTTTTATCATTTTACTTTTTTGACTAGTCTAATAAGTGTTCTCATGTATTTGATTTTGTAATTATGTATGTGTTAAAATTTTAGTGATGAATAAAACTTATGATGCACTGTTTGGAACCTTTGGTGTAGTAATGAATATTACTGGAGTTTTTTTTCCCAACACCAAATCGTTGTTTTTAACACCTCGACACGTGTTTCGATCACCAAGTGATTGTCTTCAAAGAGGAAGATTAAAATGTTTTAATTACAAAATTCTTGGGGCTACAGATAGATAGGATGCTAAAATACTAAGAACATATGAGAACCCTCTTGCCACACGTTGTTATGCTCAAAGGATGGTTCGAAATTAACTACGATTCCAGTCTGCAGAATGTGCATACTATGCGTTGATAGATGTACATGATACCTATGGAATAGCAACTAAGATGTTTAATGCCATTTTCATGATGCAGAAAAGGACTGTTAGATTCCTGTAGATCACTACAGAAACATACAATATCAACACTGATATTCTAAAAACAGCAAGTTCAGTTTACAAAAAGAGGTCCCAATCCCGAGGGTAAAAGAGCATATATTACATGACAAGTTTATCAGAGATTCCCGAAGACAAACTTGACGCCGATAAAAAAATCTGTTATTCATAATGGTTTGAAAATACTCAATCAAGTGCTTATATCTGTCAAGCAGCTGAAAGTTATGACATGCATAGAAAAAAACTCAAATATCACTTTGATGAAAACACTAGCAAAATTCTTCAATGGATGACCATATTTTTTAAAAAATGGTTCAAATCATAATAATCTTACTCTCATGACATCAATGTTACTATACATGGAAATTTTTGCACTGATTTTCAAAAAATGTACATTGTTCGCCAGAAAAGGTACATGACATTATCTTGTGTGTTAATTTGAAATCTAGTGATTCTATATGATGTTATGTTAAACCAGATAACATGAAATTTTTTCAAGTCTTAGTGTTTTTTGGCATCAAAAAAGGTCACTTCTAAATTTATATCTAAATCATGATAACTTAAATTTTGGAAACAGAAAATGGATGGGGTCTGTTGTAGCAAAAACTTCGGTTAGGTTAAGTGCCGAAATATAGGAACTATTTGTTTTGCAAGTCTGATTGGGGTTTTTGCCTCTGGAGTATTTTGACCCTGAGAGAGCTATCATGCTCTATTCCCACCCTTGAAACCGGAAACAGCTCACATAAGAATAAAAACTTACTAATCCAGTTTGCAATTAGATTTTCACTATAAATGGTTTCACAAAAAACTATGGCATGTATGCAGCAGGAGGAGATCCTGTATTATTAAAGTTTTATATAGATTTTCATCAAGCGTCAGCCAGTTCTATTCAACAATAAAACTAACTCGAAAGCAACTTTACTTTGCCTAAACCGTTGCAATAAGAGAAATTCTTATTAAAGATTACAAATTTTTCATTTGAGTGAAGTAAATGTTATGGAGAGTTTTCTAATTTTCTAATATATACTATCATGAAAACTCTGGTACATTAAAATAATAATATTGACAAAAACGATAAGAAAAATGTTGAAAGCATGTTTGAAAATGATTTAATTATAGCTCACCATTATTGTAAACTGTGAATTTAATCCACATTCTATTTTCAGGTGATCAATACAATAATTTTATTTCAATTCAAAACAATTCAGTCAATATCAGTTCCATTTATGAAAAAATACTTTTCAACCATTTCAGAATAATATTTTTGAATATCCTGTATGTATAAGCTCTACTTAAGTTTGTTTTAGGTACTTCATATAGAAATAAGTTTAAAAGTAACTAATCTTACAGAATGAAATTGTTTACATATTTAGTAAATAAGATACATTTTCTTACGAAAGACAACTCTCAGAAGTCGAAACGTTTGCGAGCATAGGTCTTAACTTTCAACGTGTGATTCCTAGCTCTAGTGAGATGACATGCAATAAAAATCCAAAATCCTACAGTTGGATTCTAACCAATCTTCACTCAGAGGCTGATCGAATAAGTAAACAAACCAGTCACGCTGACTAGCCGTCTACAGACTAATTGTGACATACAATTTCTAGGGTTGTATTCATAAATTTACTGACAGCTGCCATTGTTTACTTGCTGAATGGTTTTTGAACAGTTATTCCGAGTATTAGATGGCAATGTGTTTCTAATCACGTGCACATGATCTACACCATCAACAGGAGAAATTTTACAATGCAACGCAGTGGATTTGTCACCTTTTCTATCTATGAAACCTTACAATGTTTTCGCAAATTTGAGCCTAAACATAACATTTTTCTAGAGGATATCCTCTATACGAGTGTAATTTGACATACACTAGAGTTTTCGTGTAGAACATAAATACAAAAATAAAAGCATATAGATCAACGTACACTTACATATCACTATCATCAGAGTCTGACGACACCTGTACAGGACGGTACAATCTTACTTGTTCATCAGAATATCTGGTGAAAAATCAACAAAATGTTTTCACAAGGACAGAATGGATCAGATCATTCAAGTCTGATATCAGAAGAATTAATATGCACTCACCTTAATCGCAGAACACATGCTGCTACAATTGTGTATGCCAACAAGGTTCCAATAGACATCATATTCACCAGCTGTTTGAGGTCAAATATAGCTGCCATCAAACCTAAAATATATTTTAATATTGAATGTTCTATATTACATATTACCTAATAACTCAAACAAGGGAATAACTGATGATATGTTTGTATAGTGAATTTTATGAGGAGAAAAACAACTGTTTTGTACAAAACCTAAAATTCACACTAAAATCCCAATCAAATCCGTTAGAGCACTTGAAACATGTTAATATTCCTGTAAATTTTCACCAATATGATACCGATTTAGATGAACTAAAAGAAATATTATTATAAGATATAAAAAGCAAAAACTCAGCCGGTCTGGAATTTCTGTAAATATTCTCAATAGTTCTCCTGATTCTGCTCTGAACGTACTTGCTGAAGCCATAAATAATAAGTCTTTTTCTTATGGGGAGTTTCCGTCATATCACAATTAGCTATTGTCGTTCCTGTATTCAAAGTAGGTGATACTGAAAATTGTGACCCATTTATCTGTTATTAACATTTTCTAATGTTATCAGAAAATTAGTAAAAACAGGATAATGACTTTTCTGAATGATCACAGCTTTGCTCAGCTTCCAAAAATCGAAAAGTAGAAATGATGTCATGTTCTTATTGTTAGAATACATTTATGATTATCTGATCAATGGGGATGCAAGAGCTGCAGAATTCTGTGATTTTACCAAGACTTTTGACATGAGATACTTTTACGTAAACTTTGACTTTAGAGGAGTGTGTCTAAATTGGATTGAGTCCTATATTATAGTCTAGTTCATATGTACTTTTTTTTGTAACATTTTTCAGCCCTGTCCAAAAATTACGACCAAGGTGTCATTCAATTCGTATTTTTGCCTAGAAAGTTTAAGGAAAGGTCCGAAAACGCGCCGATAAAAATTACAAAAGTTATAAACAATTAAGTGAAAAAAAAATGGGACTTTAGTTTTTTCTTAATATCTCGGAAAATTTTCAAAATTTTGGAAATTTGAAAAAAGATTTGAAAAGAT